ACCACCACCACCACCACCACTTCTCGCGATCGTGGAGTCCATATTGCATTGTCTTCCCTCTACTGCTATCCTGAAAGGTCCTGCGCTGCAAAGGCCTGGATGCCTCAGAGCTCCTCAACCCTATGTGTACCACCCCTCAACGCCCGCGAGCACAAAGACGTTGAATCCCCAAACCCTAGCTATGGCAGGACTACTACGACGAGCCCAAGGACAAGGAGACCGCAACGGAGACAGCAGAAGCAGTGGAAGACGGGACGGCAGAAGAGGCACCAGAGCCAGAGGAGTGAGACTTCTACTGGCCGCCAGAGGGAGTGGAGGAGTGATCTTGAGAACACTGGAATAGGTCTAGGCTTCAGGATCTGTAGGGTTAGAGTTTGGGGAACAGCATGAATTCCTGAAGCATAGAAAAACAATTATCAAAGAACGTTGGGCGCCCGAGAATCAAAACAGTTTGAGAAATATGGGCAAAAAGGCATCCAGGTCTAAGAAATGACATTAATCCTTTCCGTGTAATGTTAAGGGGATCCCCGCCCTTAGTGTAATGACTCGGGGTATTTATCGTACCATCCAAACATTAAGGAGGGGGGGTAATTGAAATTTGATTAACATTGTGCAAAATTCGATTAAATCTAATAAGGNNTAAGGGACTATTTCAAATTAGGGCCCATTGGAGACAATCAGAAATTAGGGGCTTATAAGGAACTAGTGGCAATTACGGCCTTACTAGGGACTAGTTCAAGCTAGGGCCTTACTAGGGACTGTTTCAAATTACGACCTCATTTAGGATTAGCTCGAATAGGGACTTATTAGCCGCTATTTCAATTTGGGGCCTTATCAGGGAATATTTCAACCTGGGGCGTTATGACAGATTGGGCCTTTTCAGTGACGATTTCAAATTAGGGCCTTATAAGGGATTACCTCAAATTAGGGCCTTATGAGAGACTACTTCAAATCAGGGATTGGTTAGGACTTTTTCAAATTAGGCCTTATTCTGGACTATTCCAAATTAGGGCCTTATTAGGGACTATTTCAAATTAGGGCTTTATTAGGGACTATTTTCAAATTAGGGCTTTATTAGGGACTATTTTCAAATTAGGGCCTTAGTAGGCTATTCCAAATCAGGGTGTGTTTCTGGAAATCTTCTATATCGATTCCTTTATGAAAACAATTCAAAAACAGTCAAAATCTAGGAAATCAAGAACATCTCTACTCCTCAAGAGTCGTGCTAAAACACCACCCTAATTCAGAGGATCCGAACCGCAATTTACTTTAGTCTTGGCCTTTTTCAAGGTTGTCTCGGGGGCAGAGTTCGGAATTTGGAATTTTGGCG